TGAAGCAATTACTTGCACTAAAGCAACAGGCTTTGGTAAACAAAGTACTGGTGTCCCAGTCAACAGCCTACCCCGCTCACACGAATCGCCAGGGTTGGGCTTCTGGTGGAAACTGTTTGCAAGCAAATGAGCGCTGCAAAGGCCTTGCTACTCCAGGTGTGGTCCCGGGATCAGCAGCATCAGCACCACTTGGGAACTTGTTATGCAAGTTCTTGGTCCTAACCCAGATCTAAGTTAAAAAGAGCCTTCGCAAAATGCAGTGCGATTTTGCATTTTTACAAGAAGAGCCTCGTTTGATTTGTGTATACATTCAAGTCTGACAAGCACCTGAAATTTAACCTTCTGAATGTACTCATCTGTTTAGCAATTTTTTTGTAAATAAAACAACAGCAGCCTTCCTTCGGAGTTAGAGTCTCTGGAATTTGTCCCACTGGGGATCTTTCTGGTTTTCTTTTTCTTTGGGCTGTAGTTAATAATACAGAATGTTTTTCAAGTAAATCAGTGGTTCCAGGTGGTTCTTGGATGAGAGCCCTCTAGCAAGGCTATAAAAAGTCAGATATTTCTCTTATAGGTTTCCAACTTAAGTATTCCCTGAGGCAAATAGCTTCAGCTTAAGGGTGGAAAACAATTTTATGTAAAATAGAGGAGTATCTGTGTAACTATCCCACTACTTCCAAGTCCCATGTATATCAAAATGGGGGGGGACTGCCAAAATCAACTTTATTTTAGAATATTACACCCTAACACATGAAAAGGGGACTTTCACACCAAAACTGAGAAAAACAAATTAATCCACATACCTTTCTTATTACTTAAAATTCTTCTACTGCCAAAAAAACCACACACACACACACACACACAAAAACAAAAAAACCTTCTGCTATGCCTTGTTTTTATATCCTTCCCAAAGTTTATGTTACCATTGTGATTATCTGATAAATTCTCAATCCATTTACTCTAAGCAAAGAGTGAAAGAAAACATGCAATAGGAATATTGAGCATTCTGAAATAAGCATTAATTCTCCAGTGGAATTATTTGCAAGAAGGGGAACTGCAGGTTCAAATACAGTCTCAAGCTTGGCAGAAAATTCCCCGAAGCATAAAAAAAAGGGGGGTGGGAACCCAGGTAAATATACTTAGATTTAAGGTATTCCAGCAAAAACTTCAGCAAATACATAGTTATGTGTTACCTACTGTAGGGGCCAAGGCCTAACTGCCCCAAGATGGGCCACCTTGGCAAGATTATTTTGAGTCAAAAGCAAACAAAACCCAGCAAATTCAGGAAAAGTTCCTTACCGCCCCCTCAGCTGCCTACATTTACACTAGTAAGCCGAGCCTGTGCCTGAGGAAGAGAGCTATTAACAGAGATTCCTCTGTACCTAAGTAATCTATGGGCATAGCAGGGCCAGCTCGTTTTTCCAAACATCTTCTCTCACCTTCCTGCAAATGGTCTTCTTCCCCTTTGTATCCTCACACCCTCCCCTTTCTCCCGAGCTCAGGAGCTCATGTAAGCTTCATGGTGCCAGTCTTTAAAATTTCATGTCTGTGTGGATTCTCTATATGCACAAAGCTAAATTTGGTTTTGTCCTGTTGATCCGTCTCATGTCAATTTGATTCTTTGTCCAGCCAAAAGGACTCTGAGGGAGCCTGGGTGGCTCAGTTGGTTAATCGTAGGACTCTTGATGTTGGCTCAGGTCATGATTTCAAGGTCATGAGATCAAGCCCTGCTTTGGGCTCCCTGCTCAATGTGGAGTCTGCTTGAGATTCTCTCTTTCTCCCTCTGCCCCTTCCCCTGCTTATGTGCACACATGTGCTCTCTCTTTCAAATAAATAAAATCTTCAAAAAAAAAAAAAACGGACTTTGAAGGGTATAGGAAATTCTTCCTCCCCCACAGTATTAACACATAAAACCAAACAGTTCATACTATGTAGCAGCGCATAATACCAATTACTTGAATTATCGTGATGTAACAGACTTTACATGTTTGCCTTTAAAATCAGTGATTGTTGAGCACCCGCATCCAAGCTGCTCATATATTCTCATCTGAATGACTACAACAGATCATTATTAGTGAAATATACCTAGAATATATCTCTTGGGCATCCTGATTATTTGGGACGGATTATTTTTGAGAAGTTACAGACACAGGGAACCCTCTCAAAACAGAGTCAAAGCTACCCTTTTGTGAGAGAAATTAACATTTAGGAGGGAAATCTCTCTTACAAGGGTATCTTCCTCCCTGTTTCAGGAAAAGGAGGATGACTCTCATCTCTAGAAACTCTGACCAATGGAGAAGAGCATGGACTTAAAACTGCATAATAACCTTATCTTTTGTCTACTGTGCTTTTCCTGGTAACCTCCCAACACTGGCCTGCCCACCCCTGTGCCCCCGTATTCTCATCTGCTTTTTCCTTAGCTGGGGATGGTAATTAAGGTGGTGGCCTGGGCCACTTCTGGGAGTTCCTCGGTTTTTCTGAGTCTCTCCCTTGTATACAGGAGGCATATGCCTTATAAAACTTGTTTGGTTTTCTCTTGTTAATCCGTCTTTTTACCACAGTGGGATCTCAAGAACCTGGAAGGGTAGAGGGAGATTATTTTTCCTGCCCTATATTAGTTAATTATGTCTAGATATTTTGCTTCGTGACATTCATAAACCATAATTCATCACAAAGAAAGTAACACACCAAAAAATCCCCACCATGGCTAAATCCAAGTTTCTAATTCAAAATACACTCTCTCCTCCCATGCAGCAGAAACAAATGAAGAAGACACTGTGAGGGTGAGGAGTCTTTCCATTCATGACCTTCAACCTCATCTACACCATTACTGCCTCCGGGTAACCATGTTTCCTCAGTTTACTCACTCTCCCACTCCCCTGGACAACCATTTCACACCTTCTCCTCTCTCTTCCAACCTTGAACCCCAACCTCTGTCCTCAAGCCAAGATTCATACCTACTGCCTCCTTGACATCTTCACAACTGCAAGTCTGATAACCTGTCAAGTTCAACATGGCCACAACTAACTTCCTGATCCCTCCCAAACCCAAATCTAGTTTCCACCACATTCCTCTTCTCAGTTAACAGCAACTTCATGCTTCCACTGAAATCAGACTCAAAGCTCAGATCCCTCACTCAATCTGTCAGCAAATTATGTTGGTTCTACTTCAGAATCCAACCCCTTTTCACAACTTCGACTGCTACCAACTGGTCCAAGCTACCATCATCTCTCACCTGGTCCCTCCAATGGTCTTTTGTTTTGTTTTAAGTAGGCTCCACACCCAGCATGGAGTGCAGTGCAGGGCTTGAACTCACAACCCTGAGATCAAGACCCGAGCTGAGATCAAGAGTTGGATGCTTAACTGACTAAACGCCACAGGTGCCCCTTTCTTTCAACAGTCTTCTAATTAGTCTCCCTGATTCTGTCCTTGACTCCCTCCAGTCTCTTCTCAACACAGCAGCACGGTGATCCTTTCAACATAAGTCAGGTCACATCAAACCTCCTCTCAAAAGCCCACATTAGCTCCCTACTGCACTCAGGATAAAAATCCACAATGGCCCATAAGACCTTACAAAATGCCACCATCTCTATTATTGCTCTGACTGCAGCACCTACTTCTTACACTTACTCACTCCGTTCCAGCCACATGGGCCTCCCTGCTATTGTTTGAGTGCTCCAGCCCCATCCCAGCCATAGGACTTTTTGCACTAGCTATTCCTTCAGTCTGGAACACTCTTCCCCCAGATAGCTGCCGTATCTAATTCTCTCACATCCTTCAAATCTTTGCCAAATGTCATTCTCACAGTGAAGCTTTCCTTGACCACCCTAATGAATCCTATAACCTGCCCCAAACACCCTCACCTTATAGCATTCCCAATTCCTTTATACCTTGACCTCCTTTTTTCTTTTTTCCAGGGTCCTTACTATCTTGCAACATACTTGTCTGTCCCCCCACCCAATAGAATGTCAACTCAATGAGGTCAGGGACCTTTTTTCCTGTTCTCGGCTGTTTCCCAGGTGCCTGGAACAGTGCCTGGCATATAACAGGTGTTCAACAAGTATTTGTTGAGTAAATTAATGAAACTAAACCTCATGTTTTATTAGCAGATAGATCTGGCTGGGCCATTAATGCCAGTATGGCAACTACAAATTACCACAGATCATAGGTACAGGAAAGCTCATTACATTGCTCACTCCATTTTTTTTTTTAAAGATTTTATTTATTTATTTGACAGAGATCACAAGTAGATGGAGAGGCAGGCAGAGAGAGAGAGAGAGAGAGAGAGAGAGAAGCAGGCTCCCCGCCGAGCAGAGAGCCCGATGCGGGACTCGATCCCAAGACCCCGAGATCATGACCTGAGCCGAAGGCAGCGGCTTAACCCACTGAGCCACCCAGGCGCCCGCTCACTCCATTTTTGTATATGCTTAAGGAATTCCCAAAATAAAAGGATTTCTTTTTAGGTTAACAACAAAAAATAGACACACAGTATTGTCTCTGAAATAAATGTCACACCTCTAAAGTCTCCAGAACACAGCATAAGTAGAAAAAAAAACTTGCATTTTATTTCTATTTCTAAACCATTTAATAGTTATTAAATATATTACAAATCTCTTTGTCTCAGGGTCTCCAGCTTCCTCATCTCTAAAACAAAGAGGCCCTACCTTTTGTAATTACAAAGTCCAATATCTATTCATAAAATTTTCTAGGCCCTCTTTGTTCCTAAGCATCAACTTTACAAATTTAACTTCTACAGGAGAAATTCAGACACTGGGTGACATAACATCATGCTTCTTTTCTCACTTCTAAGTTGTCTTAGCTTTCAAGACTATATTCTAGGTTTGAATTTGTAGTTAATGTTGTACTGCAGGAATTTCTCTCTGAAGCTGAACTATTATTCTATCTAGGTTCATCACTCTCAGAGCTGCTATGGGCCTGCTGGCCATGCCCACGTCTGACCGGCAGACTGCCATGGCTCTTACCAGTGCGGGAACAGAACTTACCATCTCCTTTTTGTCTTCCTGGAAGTGCACATCCACAAACATTTTCCCAACAACATAAGGGAGGGCACTTTCAATAAAGTTTACACATTTGTCCCATTGAGGCAATAGAGTTGTGGTTCCCTGAATTACCTGTGGGAGACAATTGATCCAGATTGAGGTTCACTTGGATGAAACCTATGGCTGAAAAAAAAAATTCACACAGCCTGAGGAAAACAGGCTACAAAACATCGCACACCCCAACCCATATACATGGTCTCATGGTGAAGCTGACAGTGAAATCAGAAGAATAAAATAAATTCTGCTTGTTCCTAGTTAGACTTAAAACTGAATGAAAATATTTTGATGGTAGAAAATATTGTATTTATCCTTTCCTTTCAATTTTCCCCATTAAATGAAGGATTAGGAGAATGGCACAGTTTTTTTCAGTTAGCAGGGAAATGAGTGGATGCTGTCCCATCCAAGTGTCTAGATAGCCTTTAATAGCTATTGGTAGGGGTGCCTGGGTGGCTCAGTGGGTTAGAGCCTCTGCCTTCGGCTCAGGTCATGATCTCAGGGTCCTGGGATCGAGCCCCGCATTGGGCTCTCTGCTCAGCGGGGAAGCTGCTCCCCCCGCCCTGCCTGCCTCTCTGCCTACTTGTGATCTCTATCAGACAAATAAATAAAATCTTTAAAAAAAATAGCTAAAGTAACTGAAGTTCCACTAGGAAAGGACTAGTATCGATGGGTGATCAAAGTTCCTGCCCGGCGAGGGTTTCCTTCCTCTGGGTAGTACACTCACAAGTCCAAGGACAACATAGCCCATGTGAATGACCCAAGAGGCATATTTAGCAAAGGACACACCCATAGCAAATTAAAAAGAAAAAAAAGATGAAAATGTTTTTCCCATCTGTCCCAATTAAGCCATTATAGGAAAACATTTACAAACAAGTGAGGGGGTTCCAAAGCAGGACTTGGAAGGCTCAAAGGTTTACTCTTGGTGATGAAAGCAAAGAAATAAATAGTGTTTAAAATGCCCTTGGAGGATGGAAGTTCAGCACTCAAAACGCAAACTGAAGGCAAGCGGCAAGACAGAGAGGCCCTGAGCACAGTGGCCGCGTGGCCTGCACCACGTTAGCCCCAGGCTGCGTGTGACGCGGGCTTAATGCTTAGATCCATCTCTCCGTCCTTCCCCCTGCTTTCTGGCAACACAACCCCTCACAGACAGAAGAGATCGATGTATTTTTTAAATCTCTAGAGAGGGAGATCCTACAACTGTCTTGGCAACTCCATGTTATATTTAGCTCTTTACACTGAAGAAACATCCCCTCTTCATACCCAACCCGCCAATTTTCACACACTACTTCTTACACCGTCCTCTCTTATTCTCTTCACAGTAGGGCTGAAAAGCAGGTGGGTACTATCTTTTACGTGATCCATAGGAGTTAAAAATACACATGCATATATATAAACATAAATATATATATGTAAATATATATATATATAACATGTATATATAGGCACATATAAAAATATATATTTATATTTTTAAATAAAATCTATTTGTTTTGTAACTTAACCTTTTGATATGACCACAATAAATATAGCTGTTTTATGGTGCTCTCTATAAAACTCAATAATCTAGTGACTTTGAGAGCCAAAATGTATCCAAAATAACTGTGCTACTGCTCAATACTATTGACCCACCAAAAATTCCTGTATTTACCTGTTTCTCTAATAACCGAAACATCTGTTAAATGAAAGCACTCTTATAAAATGTCATTCACTTCTAGTTGAGAGAAAAATAAATTTAAAATACCTTTTAAAAGTCACACAATATTTAAAATGCAAAAAAAAAAAAACAAACAGAAAACCATTAGGTCCTTAATAATGGGAAAATTACTCAGACAAAAGTTTGTGAAACAAAGGCAAAATAACACCTATGTAAGTGAGGGAGTGAAGCGAAAATCAAAGAACCAAGTGAGGGGGGAAAGAAGCAAAATGTTTGAGGCAGCTGAGCTGGGTTCCCCGGGGAGACTAGATTTAGGCCTCTTTGGCCTAGCAGAATTGGGATAAATTCAAAGACTGAACGAAAGTCAAGATAAAGACAAAATTCTACCCCTAAATTAAGATGAAACTTTATCATCTAATATGTGTGTTATGCTTATTTTGAATATTTGTAATACTGAAAATGAAAAATAGTTAAAATATATCACTAAGATACATTTGAACTATAATTACAGTGACCCAGTTAAAAACACTGGGGAAAACGGGACTAGGTCGATAAGAGGGAGTGAAAACAAGATGTCAGTCCCAAATATTGCCCCAAATATCTTTATATGGCCTCATCAAAGTATAGCTTGGGTGTAGTTTACAGTACATAAGGTTTCACTTAATAAAAAGAAATAAATCAAAAAAAAAAGAGTAGAGTTTTGGCTGCAAAACTCCCTCTGTCCCATCCCTAAAGATGATTTTTATTGGATTAGTCAATATACAGACTGTTCCAGCATGTAAAGTTATCCAGTGATGTAACACTGCAATCTTCTTCAAACTTACCCGTGAGAATTCAAGCCACCTATACTGAAAGCGCCTGCTAAGGTTTGGAATTCTGGAATAAACCATCCTCCACACCAAATAGTTGGCAATGGTCCTGTTAGCAGAGAGAAATGTGCATTTATTACAATCAGGTTGATACCTGATACTCCACAGAACACCCCGGGGAAAACTGCTCGACAAGCTCCATGGAGGGACCTCTGCTCATAGAAAACTGTAGAACTGGCACTTGAGAAATGATATAAGATGATACAGTGTCAATAAGCTCAACCAAAACTGGCTTGCTTTTCACCACTTAATACAGGGAGATGAAATGAAGATTCCAGCCCGAGGCCTTAAGCGTCAACATTTTGCTTTCCCTCTCAGGGCATGGAATCCACTTTTGAGCCTAGACTTTTCTATCTAGAAACTGTCCATACACTGGAATTATTAGGTGACCTCAAAAATGCAGGTGAACTCTTACTTTTGGGAACAAACATTAATATATTGGCCAATACCAATTATCTAGATTTGCACCTTGATTCTATACTTATATGAGCTTGAGTTTGTCACTTAAACTTGCTGATTTTATGTTTTCTTATCATACAACGAGGATGATCACTAACTTATAGGTTTACTGTGAGGTTCAAGTAAGTAATAGAACCCTTAATAAAGAGTAAATTCCAGATTTTTTATTGTCATTATTTCCAAACATATGAACAAGCCCATATACTCATGTAGTGCCCATAACAGATATTTTTTTTTTTAAAGATTTTATTTATTTATTTGACAGACAGAGATCACAAGTAGATGGAGAGTCAGGCAGAGAGAGAGAGAGAGGGAAGCAGGCTTCTTGCTGAGCAGAGAGCCCGATGCGGGACTCGATCCCAGGACCCTGAGATCATGACCTGAGCTGAAGGCAGCGGCTTAACCCACTGAGCCACCCAGGCGCCCCATAACAGATATTTTTAAAAACCCATTACCTTTTGTTAACTGTTGCCTTTTTCTATAAGCAAAAGATGTCCTGACCTCAGAAGGATGTGTGATCTGATTTCTAACTCAATAGTGACGATGAATTTTTAATGACCCATCCCCTCGCTGTTGTGCCATTACCATGGTGGCTAATAATACACATTCCTGAGATGGCTCTTGGGTCATCCAGCCATGTTAGATCCATGTAACATGAAGATGGCATCTGGCCCATTAAGAAAAACCAACTCTCTTACCCTAAAACCCAGCAATCGCACTACTGGGTATTTAACCTGAAGATACAAATATAGTGATCCAAAGGGGTATTGGCACCCGAATGTTTATAGTGGCAATGTCCACAATAGCCCAACTATGGAAAGAATCTAGATGTCCATCAACAGATGAATGGATGAAGATACATGTGATATGCGATAAAATATATGTGATGGAATACTATACAGCCATTAAAAGAAATGAAATCTTGCCTTTGCAACAACATGGATGGAACTAGAAGGTATGCTAAGCGAAATAAGTCAATCAGAAAAAGACAATTATCATATGATCTCTCTGATATGAGAAATTTGAGAGGCAGGGTGGTAGGTTGTGGCAGGGCAGGGAGGGGAAAAAAATGAAACAAGATGGGACCGGGGAGGGAGACAAACCATAAGAGACTCTTAATCTCACGGAAGGAACTGAGGGCTGCTGGGGCGTGGAGAGGGATAGGGTGGCTGGGTGATGGACATTGGGGAGGGTGTGTGCTATGGTGAATGCTGTGAACTGTGTAAGATTGATGATTCATAGACCTGTACCCCTGAAACAAATAATGCATTATATGTTAATTTTTAAAAGAGGGGAGGGACTCCTGGGTGGCTCAGTTGGTTGGGTGGCTGGCTGCCTTCAGCTCGGGTCATGGTCCCAGGATCCTGGGATCGAGTCCCACACTGGGCTCCCTGCTTGGTGGGGAGGCTGCTTCTCCCTCTCACTCTGCTGCTCTCCCTACTTGTGCACTCTCTCGCTCTCTGTGTCAAATGCATAAATAAAATCTTTAAAAATAAAATAAAGTAAGACAGAACAACCAACTCTCATTTGCATGGCGCTCTAACCCAGTGGATGTACACTCTCAGCAATTAAATACATTCCAGTGTATTCACCCAGTATTTGTACAGCTATTTTAACTTATATAGAGATATACTAATGTACTAACATATTAGGAATGCTTTTAACAAATACGGAAATAGGAGTTTCAAAAGATAAAATGAAACAAAGATATTTTTAAAAGCCCAAACACTATTAGTTAATTCTTCAAGACACATTATCCACATAGGATTGGGTTACTACAACAGTAACAGTGGATACAAATCCTATTTCATAGAATGTTCCCGACTATTTCAAAACATTTTGAACATATCCTGGTCAGATCTGGTTAGACCACCATTGTTTCTTTCCTTGTCATCTGGCTAACCAAGATAGCGCACTAGGCTGGCAGAAGGCTCACTCCTGCCATTTTCCTGATGTTTACTCTCTTCTCACATTATTAGTAATAGCTTTGGTTCCTGTTTCTCTACAAGAATTTTTTAAGCTGCTTCTCCATTCTGTGGGGGTTAAACCACTTGAAACAATTCATTAATATATAGGTATATAGTAAATGGCTTGAGATTATTTTCTCAATGTACCAACTGAAGACAAACCCGTGAGGGTGACGGTGTCCTCCCTCTCATGCGCGCCATACAGATCAAATGAAGGGTCCATGACCATCTATATTGGGCTCAACCGAGCCTAATTCTCTTTTCGGTGGAAAAAAAAATGAAGATACATAAAAATTCTCTAGTTTTCTTCTCAGACCCAGTGGACCACGCTGAGGTATGCATACTTCCCCTCAGAGACAACACTCTCAGCAGCGACGTACGGCCTACTACGTTTCAGCCTACGACGGTAAATATGTAGTTGTAGGTCACTCCTTTGGATCTTCTCAGTTCACATTTGTATTCTTGAGCAAGAAGTGCTTGCTGAGCACTTCCCGTTGGCCAACCATCATTCCAGATGCCCTCAGTACTGTAAAGAAATAGGAGTCCGGCACCTACATTCAGAGAGTGAAGAGGCTCGCTGGGGCACACAGAACTTCAGATTTCCATTTGCTCATATAATTGGGTTTTTTACTTGAAGAAATATATTTTAAGTGCACGAAAGGAAGTAGAAGTACTTTCTTTCACTCATTCAGCACATCTTGACCACCCAGAGATGTGCTACTAATTCTAGGTGCTGGGGAGATGGAAAGGTGAGAAAGATACAGTCCTTGATCTCCTGGAGCTTTGAGCTGAACAGGAGAAACAAGGTTAAGTGCATACTTAACGACGTGGCGGACCCTAACACCCAGACGCACATGCCGGACACTTCACCAGAAGGAGCATACCCCGGACTGAGGGACAAGATTCAGCCTCATGAGAGGAACACGATTGGAGCCAGGCCTAAAGAATGGAAGGTTTAGAAGTGTGACGCAGGAATACGAACTCTGGACAAGCTAATCAGCAATAGCTTATTTATTGGAGAAGGTGGCGAGCAGGGTCATCACTCACAGCGATAGGCAGAAAGTTCTGCCACAGAGAAGACAATGCAGGTAGCTAACAGAGCCCAGTGTCCAGAGTGCCAAAGGAGGCGAGCCTGGGACACAAGGTCAATATGTTCTTCCACCTTAAAATATGGCTTCCCGGGTTTGAAAGGTGTGGTGGAACCACGGGTGCACGTTAGAAAACGGTCTATGGCTAGGAGACACACTTCCAGGGGTTCAGAAGCTATTTCCTCAAGGGCACAGTGATAAGCCAGGCTCCCTGGGGATGCTGGTAGGATGGGCCCGACGGCAGTGGCCGACAGTGGGTGGTGGAAGAGGCAGTGCGGGGCACGTACGTTGGGGTTGAAGGAGCGTGGGCGCCCCCACTACAGGAGAGGTGTTACTGGGCCGGCCTCACACACAAAGAAACTCGAGGCCCCGCATAGTCAGTGCATCTCCAACTTGCTAGGATCACATGAGGTGTTTAAGAAGTCCAGATAAATGCCCAGGCCACTCCAGAGCAACGACATCAGAATCTCTAGGGTAGGGTCCAGCATAAACACCGTGTTTAAATTTCTCCCAGCTAAGTTCAGTGTGCAAACAAGTTGGAGACCCAGCGTAATTAGCGATGGAGTCTACACCAGACGGAAGTGGGTCTAACCCCAAGGGCTCTGTGCTTTTCCCCAGGCCACACAGTGATAAATTAATGCCTCTAATTCAGCACAGATTTCCTGGCCAGTCAAAAGACCCCAAATGCTTCGTCCGAAGAAAGAATAGTGTGTGAGGCCTTCATGGGCAAGGCATTGCTAAGAGGATAGCAAAACAAGACCTGTGAGAGTTGGAAGATGGAATGCAGGGAAGCTCGCACAGCAAGACAATGGCGCTGATGAGCTGCTCCGGTGGGTTATAAATACGCTGACAGAACGCTGGGGAGCCGGGCTTCCGAGTGCTAATATCACCACACCAGAAACAGATCCAACAGTAATGACTGAATCACTGCCACTTAATGCTCAGATACATCAAAAAAAACAAAACAAACATCATATTCAGCAACAGTCCTTGAAAATAACACATAATATCTTTTTTTTTTCCAAAAAGCATTTTCAGCAGTATGGTAATTTCCCCAAATGGCAATAAATAAAGCGGAGGAAATCAAAACATCTCAGGAGAGAACCCACCATTAAAAGAGCAACATGAATTCATTTCCCAAAGCCTCTGACTGGGAAGAGTTGTTTTTTTTTTTTTTTTTTTTATTTAAAGAGGCTCTTGCTGCCCCTTGTCAATTAGTGACAGCTTGCATTTGTTTGCATTCATTAAGTGCTTTTTCTGATCCTCATGGCACTGTGATGGGATGGTTATTATTATCCTCATTATCAGATGAAGAAAACAAAGGTCAGAGTTCGAGGGACTTGCAAGTCTGTGGCAAACACAGAACTAATATCTGGTCTTCAGATTCCAGAGCTGGCCTATGCTCCTCTAAGTCAAACTACCTGAGGAATGCCAAACAGGTTCTTCTCAAAGGCTCTCAAAAGCCAAAGGGATCTTCTTAAAACCTAGAGACTGCTCAAACGTACACCTAAGGCAGAGGTCCTCAGAGTGTGTCCCCGGACCAGCAGCTTCAGCATTGCCGAGAACTTGTTAGAAAATTCCTAGGCTTCACCCCAGATCTCATCAATCACAACTGTGGGATGGGACCGAGCAGTCTATATTAACAAGCCCTTCAGGAAGTGCTGATGCTTGTCAGATTTGAGAACCACTGGTCTAGGAAAAGTCTATCTTCTCCTCTTTCTGCACACGCAGCTGAACCAGGAATTTCTAAATCCCAGATCGGTGCTTCTTAAACTTTAGTGTGTATATGAACCCCCCCTGAGGAGCTTACTAAATGACAGATGATGATTCAGTAGGTCTGGAGTGGAGCCTGATTTCTGCATTTCTAACAAGCTGGCAGGCCAGGCCTGTACTGGTCTCCATGGGTCATACTTTGAACAAGGCCCCAGATGACCCTCAGCAGCACTGAACCCTGTAAGAGGTCCACATAACAGCACATTTTCCAGGCAAGCCTCTGCAAGCATATGTCCAATGAGAATCATCTCACTTTAATGTACATTGTGCTTGCTTTGTATTAAAATAAAACTGAAGACAGAAAAGATCAGAGGCTTGGATAAATCTCCAACGGTTTGCTTTCAGCCAGCCTGCTGAAAAAAAGAAAGAAAAGAAAGAAAGAGAGAGAGAGAGAGAGTACTGATGCAGATGATCTCCATGAGGCCAGGCCTTGCCCAGAGGAAGACCCCAGGCAAAATCTCTCTAACCCCATCCTTCCTCAGCCTCTCCCCTCCTCCCACTTTGCTCCTCAGACCAAATTAGATGGTTAACTGTCTGAGGCATCTGCAAGTCAGGAGTCGGGGGAGAGCTGCAGGGAGGACAGAAAGGGAGGGACATCTGCAGCACCTCTCAAACAGTGATGTGCTAGTAAATGTTTCACAAATGGCTTTCCAAGAAAAAAAAAAAACTTGATTTGTAGCATTTGCCAATTTCCATGGTGTGAATATTCCCATTTCAAACTGTTCACATGAGCTCACTCAACACAGAGTTAGGAAGAGACGGGCATAATGTGAGGGACCCAGCACACCACTGCATCTTCAGTCCCTTTCTACCTTGAACACCAACTCCTTGTCCCCACAGGCAGCCTCCAGTTTGGGCCTCCAAATGGCCCTGCCCCGACCACCTACTCCCTTGAACTGCAAGGGCCAGTGCAGCCTCTGGCACCACCTCCGGAGGGTGGGGGTCTTGTTGCTCCCGGTTTTTTTTTTTTTTTTTGTGCCTGGCACCACAGCCTGCCAGGGAGGCAGTATCACCACCCCCACAGCCAATCCTTCGGAAAGAAAAGCCCAACACTGCCAGGTCAGCAGGGGGCGCGACACAAGAGGGGAAGCCGCAGTCAAGCCGTGACCCGCTGAGACCAACCCAGGATGGGTTGGAACCCTGGAACCCAGGCAATGCTAGGGGAACCGACTCTCGGCAAAACTAGCAGCGAAATGTCTGCAAAGGGTCTCTTTTCAATACAGGGACTTGTGTGCCAGAGGCAGGATGTAGAAATGAGGGCGACCAATTTAGACTCTCAGTTCTACCCCCTCTTCAAAGTCTGTCCTGCAGAAGTCACTTTACCTCAGTTTCCTTATCTATAAAGTGGGAACAACAATTTTTTTAAAAAGATCCAAGGAAACTGTTAGGCATAATGGTGTTTAACATGAATTGGTCTTCAAACCCAGTGATTTCCCCCCAAAAACACTAACTGAAAGATTCTCCAGGGGCGCTTGTTAAAATTCAGATTCCAGGTCCTCACCCCAGAACTGCTGTTTCCACCTCTATGGAGGAGGGCCTTGAATTCAATATTTCCACCGAGGGTCTGAGGTGATGCTGCTGGCGTTACTGGTCTACAGAGCACACTTTCGTTTTTTTCGTTGTTGTTGTTGTTGTTGTTGTTTTTTTAATTTAAATTCTAGTTAGTTACCATATAGTGTAATACTGGCACGGAGCACACTTTGAAGGGCAAGGCTCTCCCCCATACATCCACTAACCTACCTCTAGATTCAATTTTCACTTAGAAAATTTGTATAGAATCGCTGCTTATCTCTAAATGGTAGAATTGTAAGTAAATTTATCATTTCTTCTCTCCCTTTTCTGTATGCTTTCCTCAATGAACACATACTGCTTTTATCATAAAATATCATCTTAAAAGGAAAAGGAGCTCTTCAAAGGTGTTTAAGTGTTTCCTTAGGTAGGGATGGACGCTAAATTTTATTCCTAGGACTTCTGCAGGCATCTTTTTTTTTTTCTTTTTACATAATTCCTGGCAAGACAGCCCTAAGTCCAAATAAGAAAATACGATTTTTAATCGTGGTCTGGCAACTAGCTTAGGAAACTGCCTTTGTAAATCTACTTGACCTTGCGGTGCTTCATCTTCTGTAGTCAAATCTGAAGGGCTTCATGAAGATGTAAAATTCTCTTTCATGGACATTTTTAGGATCTTCTTGTCTATAGTGCTAAAGCAGCAAAGCAACCAATTCTAAAACATTCTTTAAAATATGAAAAACCATGGGGCACCTGGGTGGCTCAGTCAATTGAGCGTCTGCTGTTTGGCTCAAGTCATGATCCCAGAGTCCCAGGATTGTGTCCTGCACTGGGGCTCCCTGCTCAGCGGGGAGTCTGCTTGTCCCTCTGTCCCTCCCCCTGCTCCTGCTCTACTTCTCTCTCTCTCATTCTCTCTCTATATATATCAAATAAATAAATAAAATCTTTTAAAAAATAATAATAAATAAGTAAAATAAGAAAAACCAAGGGTGCCTGGGTGGCTCAGTCAGTTAAGGTTAAGCAGTTAATTGTCCACTGTGTCCCACTCTTGATTCTGGCTCAGGTCCTGATCTCAGGGTCGTGGGATTGAGCCCTGCAGTGTGGTCATGCTCTACGCAGAGCCTGCTTGTCCCCCATCCCTCTTCTCCTCACCACCACGCCCCCATGCCACACGCGCGCTCTCTCTCTCTCTCTCTCAAATAAATAGACAAAACCTTTAAAATACATATGAAATAAGAAAAACCTGACAGTTCCTGAAGTTATTTCATCAGTGCAATTTTTCTACAGCTCTCAGAGTACTCTTATTCAACACAGGTCCTTCACTATATTGCAACAAAGTGACTTACTGCTGAAAAGAAAGCAGGAAAAAAAGCAGCAAAGGGCCAAGAATGAACTGGAGAAAAAGAGATGCTCATATAGAAATCTCAGAAAATAACATCATTATATAAGTAGTTCCTAAAAGTAGGAAACAACTGAGGCTTTCAGAGAGAAAAATATGGAGAAAGGCCAAAAATAAGGGGCAAAAACATTGTGTATCTGCTGCTATCATAGCAAATAAAGGACACCAGACAATGTTTTTGCCAATTTGTCACAAAGGGCACCACCATTTTCCCTAAAACTCTTTTGAGGTAACTTTCTTTAACAACAGGACTCCAAGGATGTGAGAGGGACGGCCTGATAATTTAAAAGGAAAAACAAAAGTCATGGTACAATACACAAGAAAGCTCTTACTTCTTCCTCTCAGAGCCCAATATCCTAAACAAATCCTTAAAGTACTGTGGTACACGGACGACCACGTTCTCTGAGGGGCCAATGTCTTTCAGGCCAGGGTAGAGTTTCACATCGATGACCTTCTTGATGTAGCCCAGCCAGTCAAACTGAGGAGAGAGACAGAAAAACACAGAGTGAGGGGACATCTGCTGGGCAGCAAGCAAGGAGAAAGGCAAAGACAGCCGACTGAACATACCCCACGGCCTGTAATTTCTGACCAAATAGTTAGAGATGTAACTGCTCAACTCTAGAAAAGAAACAACTGGTCACAGGCTACCCAGACCCACCGCCTGTATCACAGACTTCCCGTGCGTTCTGTACCACCTGCCCGAAGACCACACATTCCCTCCCTCCTCAGCTCCCCAGGCCCTCCTTCTTTCCCTTCCCCCCACACTCCTTCCCCCCACCACTCCTCTCCCTCTCACCTCACACCCCGCCCCCAGCCCCCCAGCTCACTGCACTCTTCACTCAAGGATACACACGGATGCCTCAGGCCAGGCTACGCTACCGGTCTCCCCTCTGGGGCAACTTTACTTATGCAGGGGGAACTAGGAAAACAGTATGTGTCCCCTCCAGAGCATCACTCTCTTGGCATTTTTAGCTGGCTACCCCAAAAGTCATTTGCAGCTTTTTTTTTTTTAACCTCCCTTGCCTGCATCCACTACTGAAATGGAAAACCAGTTACTCAATCGCAGCCTCCCCTGTAAGCAGGGATGGCCACAAGCCCCAGTCCTACTTAAGACACAAAGGGAAGACATCTGGGAATATTCTGGAAAGGCTTTGGTATTTTTTCCTGGTAAAACAGAGAGACCTAACTATCACTGGCCCTTCCCCTTTCTTGCTGGCTGATGGCAGACGTGATATGTGGAGCTACCGTAGCCACCTGGCAAGCCTGAGTCATCAAACAGGAGGTCAAAAAGCCGGCACACTAAGGAGAGTGGAATGGAAAGAACAAACGTGGCTCTTTGACAACACTGTTCAACAGCAAAAGCAACACCAACAAGCACCTACATCTAGACCTCTGTCATGTAAGAAAATGGGCTTTAAGCCTTTAAGCCACTCTTGGAAAGCTTTTCTGTTCCCCACAGGAGGAAGCACCCTAATGCACTGGCAGGGGATATTTTAGGTGGTGACTCACGAACATGATGAGAACCACTAAGACTGATGGTAGGTTTCACAAAGGCAAAAATTCATACACAGAGGATGTACAATTGCTTGTAAAATGACCAGTTAAGATAACATTTCCTAGATCATTTTCACCAACCTGGGGAATCATAGCACTCAGCTGGGAAATGTTCATTTTGTTGTACATGGCCTCGCTGGTTCGGTTTTCATGTGGAATCATTATCTGTTGGAAAGAGACTTTGGTTATTTTTTCAAATGAACCATTTCTTGATGCGTGACCACCTTCTCTATGTGCCAAAACACCTGCCAAGTATCATAAAGCTTTTCAAGATTTTGGTGCAGGGCTCCACTTGGGAGAGAGAGGGAAAAAAGCTGTCACTTCAGGCAAAATTAAGATGAAGATAATAAAAAGAATCTTTCCTGTCCCGTTCAGTGTGAAACACTGCCCTCAATCCAAAAATAACTTCCTAAATCCATTCCTCACCTCTAATGTGGATGGATAAAAGTCTATTCCTGGCGTAGGTCTGACAGCAAACTGACATTATGCAACTGAGACAAACATTCCACCTCCACCTGTGGGATCCAGATAATGACCCAAAGTGCTCATGAACCACAGGCCATCCCTTCATCCCTTGGGACACATTTTTACTAAAGAGTACTAGACTACCTGGATACCACTGTCATCTGTGATCATTCTGTTAACAGCTCATTACATTACCTCCCCTTCCCTCTGCTTTCTCCGACCTTGAGAACCCACCCCTGTCACCACTGCTCAAGGAATGAGTTCAATTACCACTCAAACACATATTTGCAAGTCTACATCTCCAACCTTCACTCTTGACACTCTTTCTTTTCCCAATACTCGTGCTCCTGGCCACTGTGCCAACACCAAATCTAAGCTATGTTGAGTCAAAGAAAAGTAGCAATGATTATCTTCCTCAAGGGCCATCTTAATCACTTCTGTGGACAGGAAGTAGCTCCCCACAGTCCTAAACCACACCGTGCTCTTAAGGTCCTCCCCATCCTCTGGTTCCCTTGCATTAAACTTGCCACCTTCTACCTCACACCTCACACAGGACTCTCCTACCCTGGCACCCCCATCCACCATCACTACTCCGATAGCTTGAACTAAGATTCAAGACTTGGCCCAAATTCATTTTCTCAGTCAAGCCTTTCCAATTAAACTCTACTTGGCTCCAATCACAAGGGCCACTCGACCAATGTGCCCTCCCTTTGTGAACACTTCTCTCTAGCTGGTATTGGTTAAATGCACCCTTCCATGGCTCTATTTCCAAGGACGTTTTTGTGCTTGGCTAGGTTGTCCTGTCTCTCTAGCTTCAGAAGTTTCCCTAGTACTATGTGTTCCACTAATTTTGAATGGCCTAGGGGTATAAAAGATGGAAGGAAGAGTTACCGGCTGGCCAAAAATCCATGCACCACAGATTTTTGAAGACAAAAATCCCACAGGGCTGAGTGACGGACATCTGCCCCCTCTTTCCTATGCTTCAGTGCCCTCGGCTTCTCCCCACTCACCCTCCACAGGAGAGAGTTCATGAATCTTTCAAAAACCTTCCTGGCTCTATCTGAATCATTGCCTCAGAGAATCTCCATACTCCTCCCTCCCCCTACTAGGGCTCACAGCCCCAGATTGAAGCCCTTTGGCCTCAGAGCTGTTTTCAGCTCCCTGCCAACTACGTTCCCCCCCCCCACCCCATGGATTTGTCACTTCATTTAGCCTCTCAACAATTCCCAGTCTTGCCTCAGCCCAGCTGTTTTCAGTTCCCTTTTTGGTCCAAATCCCTGGCTCAGGGCAAGGCCTCCCCCCGCTACACCAGAGCTTCAGTCCAAATTAGAGCTCTGGGTCTCCTATTTGCCTGAGAAGGGAATCCAGATGGCCTCTAGACATAGCTCAGAGGCCCAGTCTTTGACTCCAGAACAGCTGCAGCAGTGTTCACACAGCCTTCAAAGGTGACATGCATGAATGAACTTTCTGCTCTGCAAGTAAGAGTTTGGAGAGATGTATGCATGTACATCACTGCAGCTGAGAGAAACTACTTCCTCCTGACCCTTATCAATCATCCCTACTTCATACCTCAACACCCTCCCACCACCTCATCAAGCACAAAACCAAGCAACACCTGGACTCACATCCAACTAAGGGTTTCGCATTTGTTCCCTCTGGTCCTAAGAATACACAGGGATTTTGCACTTTGGTTCTTCTACCAAAGAAGTTATGTTCTGAACAAAGTAAACCTGTGAGAATTTCTCATTATTTGCCCTCAAGTTTGTTCTTGGGTCTCTACCCTGAGCCTGCACTTAAGGCAACTTACAAAGAACTGAGCATGTGCCATAATGACATTTAAGTGGGGCAAGAAAAGAATAAAAAGCAGGGTTAGGTACAAGGAAGCACTAGAATGGCCGCTAAACAATGCTTACGAGCATGTCCTCTACACTTTCTACATCCAACTGCATATCCAGTATTAGGAAGGGTGAACAGACTTCCCAAAGCCCCGATTTTAGGTCAGACTGAGCCTGAGTGGAACTGGTATAAAGGGTAAACTAAATGAAAAATAACCTTCACTCAAGCCAAATCAATACAGAATTATTAACTAACTATTCTTCTATAGAAACCACACAGAAGTCTTTCAGGAAAAGGTAGTCAGAGGATCTCCCAGATGCTGTTCTTTGGCCACAGCTGGGTGGCATATGGCCCTTGGACTTAAAGCAGGGAGGCAGAAGGAAAGAAGAGCTCTTCTTTCTGTCATGGTTCTTCTTCCTGTTCCTTTCCAGAGGGGATGCTATGAGCTTTACCTTGGACCCAAAGGACAATGCCACAGAATGTCATTTTTATATATATTTTCACTTATGGTATACTTCTTTTAAAATAAGGAGAAGGGAAAAAAAAAGAATTTACATTAAGACTTACCTCGGCTATCTTAATTTCCAATCTAAGCACTGACTTCATGTCATGCTCCGCTCGGGAGCTATTAGCTCCCAAAAGCACAGCCGTGTCCACCATGAACTTGTAAAGGGCATCCCGATACTGTAAGAGATAAAGAAGCAAGTGACCATGACAGCCTATTAGAAAGTACGTTTCAGGGACAGAGAAGAGCAAAAACAGCAGGTGGAAGTAAATGCTCTTCAATATCACTCTATACTCAGGCATGAGGCAAAACGAACCATCCACCAACCACTTCGGGACAAAGAAGAGTGGCAGCTACTGGGGGACTGCTTCCATGAGAGACAAAGATACCAGCCACCAAGGATCAAGGGAACTAGTTTTCTGGCAACCAGTGATATTATAGATACATGAAACATCTCCAAATGAGCCCAGAATGGAAAGTTAAAGGTCAGACTCCTCTTTCCAGGCAATGAGGCTTTAATAAAATAATGGGAAAGAAGAGTTGCTAAAAGCAGGAGGAATGATCCATGAAGACTAGTGGAAACTGATTTATTCTCTTCTAGTTCAATGTACCCACCTTCACACTAAGCAGTCAAGGGCCAGTGACTGCAGCCCTATGTCTCTTCAGTTTTGTATGGATTTTACAAAGTTCTCCTCACTACTCAGGGAAAAAAGAAAGAAGAGAGGAATGATAAAGAGAAACCCAGCAAATAGCAAATACAGAGTTTCCCCTCTGCATGTTCATAAACCTATTTTCAGGCTATTCATATGGCACTGGAGAGGGAACTTTCTCTGTGGAAACTGCACAATCTTGTTGAGGGTAACCTCTCCTTTCAGACATATTTGTGAGAACTCAATACACCACATCATAAATTATTGCACAGTTGTGCTATGGGACTAAGATTTCCTTACATCTTGATTCTATATGCTATTCTTGCTATGCTTATGACCTTGAGACTTATATAGTGCTTGGCATATAGCAGGGTCTTAATAAATATTTGCTAATCAGTAAGCAAGCTTTGCAAATAATCTTAATTAGAAACGATGCTTTCTATGTCCCAACTCAAGAAATTATGTATTCCATTAACACATGTATAGGATGTCTTGCTAGGCATTCTGTGCTTACGGGGGGCACAGATGAAAAAATTACATAATGCATGAGTCTGGTTCTCCGTGTGTAATCCAGTGACGGAGATAAACATGAAATTACTAACTGCAGCGTTAGAGACACCAAAATCAGTTCCTTAACAAAGCTGCTAAGTGTTTGGGAACTCAAAAAGTAGAGAAGAATTCCAGACTGGAGAAATGAACACAGAGCACTGGAAGGAACAGTGAAGAGCCCTCTTGTGAGGTGCACAAGTGGCCTTTATTGGGAGAAAAACAAAAGTAAATGAGGCCGCAAACATGCTCTGGGATCACATCATGAAGAGGCCTTGAATTCCCTCTAAGGAATTAGGAGCCTAGCATGTGAGCAAAAAACCACGCTGGGAGCTACACTCTGAAAAGAGAACTTGTCCAGTGGTGCTGAGGAGGCAATGAAACGAAGGGGAGGAGGTAACAGTTAAAAGCTACTTGTAGTCAAGACGAGAGTTAACGAGTACCTAGAGCAGTAAAGACAGAGGGGGGGACCAGAGGGAACAGAGATTTTGAAAGTAGAATCCAAAGGACTTGACTGATTGGTTACACAGTTTCAAGCCTGGTTGCTGATAGAGAGGTAACTCCAAAAGAAAGGTAGGTGCCCGCAGACTGGCAAAAGTTCCTTCTATCCACTGTTGAACAATACAAACATGCCAATCTTCTTTGATGAGTGTCCTTACCCAGGAAGTTGCCTAAGATCTTACTTAGCTTCCTGCCCTCTAAAACCTTCTAGATACAAGGTTTAGGATCAGCAAAGGGACAGGGACTTCCCTTGGGACCCAACACTTCCCAGTCTAAGTTCTTACATTCTTTGGCTGGCCCAGAAACCAGTGAACTCCCTAATCAAGGATCTCCTGGGTCTGGGGCTCCTTTGGAAATTCAACCATGTTTCCAAAACGAATTTAAAGTGTCAGGAATGAAGCAGCTCTACTCCAATCTCCAGGAAACTAGGAGGTTTCCCAGCCACCCAGGCGCCCCCCATCTGGCTCCCATTAACCTTGGATTAACCCGTGGCATCTGTTAAGAAAACAGATTCCTGGGTCCCACTTCAAGGCTCCTACATGGGCCTCTCCAGGGCTGCAGCCCAAGAATCGACATTTAACAGGATGTTCCCAGTGATTCTTAAGCCATACGATTTGACAGCCACTCACCGACTATGTGAACCCAGGCAAATCCCACACTTTACTTCTGCAATGTACAGTGAGCTCTCTACAGTTCTAAGGAAAGGCTGCAGGCTCATTTCTTGGTTGCTTCATTCGGGTGTGCTATCTCCCCAGCTCCATCATGCGGGCACGGAGCCTTGATGCCCAGACTTCCCGAAGAGAGGGAGTGCCATTTGTCTGAGTGAATAAAAAGCCTCTATTTCCTGCATTGGCCAACATGGTCATTAAACAGTCACGCTGTTCATTTCCAATAAAGAGTCAGGGATTTTAGAACAATTTATGAACCCAACAACAGTCTGACAAGGCACAGTGTCGAATATGAGGAAAACTTACAGACTTGGCTTCTGTGGTATTATCCAAGTAGTCTTCCCTCACGGCTAGGGAGAGAGTTGCTTGGTCCAGCTGTTGAAACAAAACAGAAAGCATTCTGCTTATAATAGAAATTCTTACCAACCACTTTAACAATAATCATGGAATCTGCATCCCAGGGAGAGTCTGAGTCTCTGTCACCAATACAGAAACCGTTCCCTGCACTCAGAGCAACAGGCAATACGTACTTCAGCAGAGACAGAAATTAGAAAGTATCAGAGACTGGCCCCTGCTTCGTGGATTCTAACCCTTTTGAGGCTCTACCAATACTGAATAGCATCAAAGTTATCTGAATCAAAATAGGTCTTAGAGATGTTTTGGTTTTCCCCCTTCTTGTGGAGAAATGAAAGCCAAAGAAATAGGTGACTTTTCCAAGGTAACATGGCTGGGCAGAGCTCAGAGGAGAATCACTGTCTCCTGTCACCAGATCCAGTATTCTCCACACTGCAGTATTTTACAAAAATCCCAATCCAGAAAGAGTTGATTAATCAGATTTTCTACCTCCATACCCCTAAAATATTGTGCTGCACTGATTGATTTTTTTTATTTTAAAGGAATCAAATAATTCTGCTTTGAGAAATCTCTGCAAAATTTAGAACTCTCTCTGGAAAGTTTAGGATAGGTGATAAAAATACAAATAATTAATCAGACAACGAAATAATCAGTGTTATTATGGAAAAGTAAAGCATAATTTCTCAAATTAAACAATTTCACACCTTAAAGGCAATCAAAGGGGAAAAGACAGTCTTTTTGAAGAATGTGTTAAAACAACTGGACATCCATTTGCAGAAAAAAAGAAAAAATGGACCTTGACCCATACCTCAGATCTTACACAAAAATTAACTCAAAATGGATCATAGACCTAAATGTAAAACTTAAAACTATGAAACATCTAGAAGAAAATACAGGGGGAGCTCTTGTGACCTAGGGTTAAACAGAGTTATTTTTTTTAAAGATTTTATTTATTTATTTGAGAGAGAGAGAACACAGAGGGAGAAAAAGAAGACTTCCTACTTAGCAGGGAGCCCGATACAGGACTTGCTCTCAGGACCCTGAAATCATGACCTAAGCCAAGGTCACACACTTAACCAACTGAGCCACCAGACTGAGCCACCCAGGTGCCCCCAGACAGAGTTATTAGACAGAGTACCAAAATCACAATCCATAGAAGAAAAAAGAAATTGGACTGCATCATCATTAAAAAATTTTGATCTGTGAATGACACTGTCAAAATAAAAAGAGCTATAGACAGAGACAAAATATTTGAAAACTACATATATGAAAAAGGATTTGTATAAAAAGAGCCCTCAACATGCAACAGTAAGAAAACAATTAACCCATTTTAAAAGCAAGCAAAAGATCTGAAGAGACAATTCACCAAAGATATGAAGATGGAAAGTAAGTGCATGGGAAGATGTTCACAGCACTAATAATTGGGAAAATGTAAGTCACAAACAAGACAATACCACGACCTGTCATTACAATGGCAAAAACAAACAAACAAGCAAAACCTGACAATGTAAAAGCTGTCTAGGAGGTAGAAAAACTGCCTCAGTCGCACACTGCTGGTGGGAACGCAAAAGGGCAAAGCCACTTCAGAAACCAGTTTGAGGGGCACCTGAGTGGCTCAGTCATTAAGCATCTGCCTTCGGCCTTCGGCTCAGGTCATGATCCTGGGGTCCTGGGATCAGGCCCCGCATCCTGCTCCCTGCTCGACAGGAAGCCTGCTTCTCGCTCTCCCACTCCCCCTGCTTGTGTTCCCTCTCTTGCTGTGTCTCTCTCTGTCAACAAAATAAATAAAATCTTAAGAAAAAAGAGAGAGAGAAACCAATTTGACAGTTTCTTAAAAAGTTAAACATACACTTACATTTGACCTAGCAATCCCACTCCCAGGTAGTTATCTAAGAGAAAAACTTCATGCTCACACAAAAACCCACATGTAACTCTATTCATCATTGCCAAAAACTGGAAACAACCCAAAAGTTCTTCAACTGGTGAAAGGATAAACTGTGACACACTCTGGAACAGTCATCAGCCATAAGAAGGAATAAACTACTGATATATGGAACAACAAAGGCAAGTTTTACTCACATTCTGAAAAAGGCAAAACTACAGGGACAGAGAACGGTGTTTAAGGATGGGGAAAGTGGTTGACTACAAAGGGGCAACATGAGGGAATTTTGGGGGGGGGGTGATGGAACTGTTGTGTGACTCTATGCACTTGTCTAAACTTACAGGGGCACGTGGGTGGCTCAGTCGGTTAAGTGTCTGCCTTCAGCTCGGGTTATGATCCTGGCATCCTGGGACGCAGCCCCCTGTCTTTGGGCTCCCTCCTAAGCGAGAAGGCTGCTTCTCCTTCTCCCTCGGCCCCTCCCCCAAACTGTGCTCTCACACACACGCATGAACACTCTCTCAAATGAATAAAAATTCTTTAAAAAAAAACCCTTACAGACACATGCATCACAAAAAGTTAATTTCATTGTATGTAAATTTAAAAATAAGTATTTTTTTTTAAGTTCCAGAATCTTCTCTAAATCTATGGCTTTTCTTTCTGGAGTTTCAGCAACTGCCTAGAGACTGAATAAAACAAATCCCAACAGCAGATTTTCTAATTTTAAATCTGATTCACACAGAAAAAAGTTAAGTCAAATTAAGAACATACAAAATCTAAGTAACACCTCAAAAATTAGTAGCAACTGAACAGAAACTGGATCCTACATGCCTGTATCATTAATTTATGTAACTCCACATTATTTTTATCTATGTATTCTAGTTCTTTATTTTACTATATCTCAAATATTTTCCTTTTTTTTAATACGTAAGATTGGTATAGGATCACAGTTTTCCATGAGGATCTCCTTCATATGCAACGAATACTACAAAGACCAAGTTAAGAACATGGAGGGCATGGGGAGATGGAAAGGAGAAGGAAGTTGGAAGAAATCGGAGGAGGGAGATGAAGCATGAGAGACTGTGGACTCTGAGAAACAAACTGAGGGTTTTGGGGGGGTGGGGGCTGGGTGAGCCTGGTGGTGGGTATTAAAGAGGGCACTATTGCATGGAGCACTGGGTGTGGTGCATAAACAGTGAATTCTGGAACACTGAAAAGAAATTCCAAAAAAATAAATAAATAAAAAGGGTTTTAAAAAAAAAGAGTTAGTGATGTTATGAAAATTCAAAGAAAAACACTGCTCTTCTTTCAAGGAGAAAAAGAAAATTTTTCATAACATCTATCTTGCCTGCATGTATTACTAAAATCCTTAAATTGTGTTCAACCATCTTCTCTAATTGGCCCCACACAACCACATCATAAACCAGCCTGGCTTCATCCTACTAAAACTCCCAATCTACCACCATTTCTTCCAAAAATTAAGTAAGCCAGAATCGTGAAACACAATATTATGATTAAGATGCTTTGGCTTTCAATTAGATCTGGACAACTTGGAGCAATCTTTGGAGCTTCAGTCTCATAGGAAAGGAAACTAAATAGACAACATCAAGAAAGCCAAAGCTTCCCTCTGAAGAAATGAAGTTAAATTCACTTATTGTAAAAGTTTGGATGACTCAAGTGAAGTTACTGGACCTTTTTTCAACCTCTACATTGTTATGGTTTCCAGGAAACATTTTAAATACACCAAACAGAATAAGGTCTGACAACTAAATCTCTTTAGAAACATACAAACTCTTGAGGCAAAAGACTTTCTCAAGAGACCAACATTAGGACACTGCGTTATTGCAGGTTTTTTAATCCTTGTGTTTACAAATGATCTGAACATCCCAAGTAGAAAATAAAGTATGTGCTTAGGAAATCCGACATATTGAACTCAAAGATGATTTTTTTTTCCTCTAACTACAACAAACCTCAGGTTAGGAAACAAAGCAGTAACACAAAAAGAAACATCTGCCAAATTAAGATTTAGGGGGAAAAAAGGCAAAGCAATTAGAAAAACTTCATTTCCAAGAGGGTCTCTCCTTGTCATTCTTACAGATTTTGCTAAAACGTCAGACAAAAAGCAGGCCACTAATGATGACTTAAAGTCAGTTTCAGTAACACATACTCAGACAACCTGGTCTTCCAAATGTTTTTTCAGGATCCTACATATTCAAGTCCTTTATTGTCCCTAAAGTCCTCATTCTTATTATCTCCTTACATAAAATAAACACAAACCCACATGGCAAGGTATGTTTGGGGGCTTTCACTTCTGTTGTTTCCTATAGTTTTTAATTTCCTTTCTCCCATTTCAGCCTGTGACAAGTCCTATGCCATCTCGCCACAGGGCAGCTCGACAGAGGACCCCTGGGTGGGTCTGGGCAACCCCTGCTCACCAAACTGCCTGGCCTTGGCATGGTGATGCTTCTGCCCCCAGGAGAGGTGCTTTTTTCTTCACCCAAAAGTACCACCTGCTCACCCAAAGGAATCACCACAGTGCCGTGCCTTCCCAAAGGAGTCCTTTTTCTTAAGAGGGAGGAACAAGGGGCACCTGGGTGGCTCAGTGGGTCAAAGCCTCTGCTTTTGGCTCAGGTTATGATCCCAGGGTCCTGGGATCGAGCCCCGCTTCGGGCTCTATGCTCAGCAGGGAGCCTGTTTCCTTTCCTCTCTGCCTACTTGTGGTCTTCTTTCTCTGTCAAATAAATAAAAAATATCTTTAAAAAAAAAAGAGGGAGGAACAAAGAGCCAGGGGAATACAACACAGAATTCTTGCCCTTTTTTCCCATGATTCTTTAGTCTTTCAAAATTAAATTTTTTAATTCTTTAAAATTTTCGATTTTTTCTTTTTCTATTGTTTGAAATTTTTCCTCTTTCCTATTTCAACCTATCTTAACTATTTTATCTTATCAATACCTTTTTTAAAAAATCCTTTTTAATTTTCATTTTTATAGTCATATGCTATTCCTTCATTGTATTTAACCATATTTTTTTATACACATGTAAGTTTTTCTTCCTTTAAAATTTTGGGATACAATTTCCTCTAACGCACCAAAATATAACATAAATCTAGCATATGGCTTTGTTGTAGTCTCCAGCCAGATCA